AGAGGTATCATTTATATATAGAAACATATATGTTTTGTAAAACTTTAGAGTAAGCCGAGTCTTGTTGAAGTGGGAAATTAAGTTCAGATATATTTGTTGACTGTAGAGGACTAGAGTGGTGTAAGAGGGAGAGGAGATGTTAACTGCAGAAGCAGATCTTGTAAAACAAAAAAATCTTAAAATAAAAAGTCTCTTTGGCTCTAGTAAGAATCGAGTTTGGTAATAAAAAGGAACCAGTTGAAGGCGGATCAGGCAGATGTGTGTGGAATTGAAATAAAAAGTAACACAAGACCATCATGACAATGAGAACTATGAAATGAGAATAAGATGAAGAGAAGAATTGAGGAAGAGAAGCAAATAATTATCCCCATAAAAGAAGGGGTATGATTGGATTTTTGAAATCCTTGCTCATGTAAGAAAAAGAAAAAAAAAAAAAAAAAAAAAAAAAAAAAAAAAAAAAAAAAAAAGAAGGGATATGATCACACACAAAGCAGAAGAGAGGCAAGATAAGAAGCTCTGGCTATAAACCAGCATGCAAGTGATAAAAGCCAACAATAGTTGGAAAAACAGAAATAAACAAATATGAAACAAGTAAGAATATAACTTATTTTATGAGTAGTAAATGAAAATACTTTCTTAAGAACTAGTACCAGACTTCTTTAGAGAAGTGATTACTGGTTTTTAGGAAAAGCGACTTTGAATATGGAATGTGAGCTCTGGAAGCAAGGCTCAGAGGGAGCAAAACAAAGATCACTGATGTTGTTCATGAGAAGTAAAAGAAGGCCTCTTCCAACATGGTCAACTGAGTTTTCCTTTATGAACTTATAGAAATGATGGATAAAATATAATTGTTACAGAAACCATATACAACCTTAAAAACAAAAAAACAAAATTCTGTGTCCAAAATAAATTAAAAAAATTGAAGAGCAGAAAGCAAAACTGATACTGTGGTAGCCCTCCAAAATTTTACACTTGGCTATATGCCTCAGGAGCCAGTAGCTGGGTTTTAATGTCCAATCACGAGGCTGAGCTTTGATAAGGCAGGTGAGCTGGAACCAAGTCTCTAGGTAACACCTGGAGCCTTAGGAATTGCCAGTCAGTGGAACTGGAAAAAGGCAATCTACTAGTCTGGGGAAGCAATGAAAAATTTGTTCTTTGGAGCTTTGGATAGGGACAAAAACATAAGGTACTTATGAGAAACCAAAACTGCAGCCCTGCAACAGATCTAAATTTACAATATTTGCATAATTCAGGAGGCACAAACTGAGAAATTATCATTTAAAAATGCTTCAGGATCTTTAAAAGCTACAGTATGCTGGCAGAAGTAAATGCATAATTGCTCTAAAGGGACTCTTGAAACTAAGGGCATAAGAGAGTCCCATAAACAAAACAACCCCACTGAAGAAGAGCACCATGTGAGGAAATAAATCACTGAATGAGAGTCAGTGGAGGTTGTAAACAAGAGTTAGAAACTCAAAAGCTAAAAATAACAGAACTACCAGAAAAGAAGATAAAATAAAGAAATATAACTTAATTAAAAGGGCAAAATAATAGAAATCATAATGAAAGAATAGGCAGATTGCACAAAGAACTGAACAGAACATGTACTTTTGAAAATAACATTGTCATTGAAATTAAAATGAATGAGTCTAACCAGATCCTACTAGTGAATGAATAACCTCCTTTTCCACTCCTCATTTAAATTACGCTTAGCTGTGTTTCTTCCCAGGTTTGTCAAACAGGTTATATTTGGTGAACCACAGTTCAAATAATATGGCGTTAGAAATAAAATACAGCCATGCGTTGCCTAACGACGATATGTTCTGAGAAATGCCTCATTAGACAATTTCATTGTTGTACAAACATCATAAAGTATACCTACACAAACCCAGAGAGCATAGTCTTATGATCCTAGACTACAAACTTTTATAGCATGTTACTGTAATGAATACTGTAGGTAACTGTAATACAATGTTCTGTTTGTGTTTCTAAATGTATCTAAACATAGAACGGTAATATGTTGCACTATGATGTCACAACATCACTAAGCAATAGGGATTTTTCAGCTCCATTAGTCTTAGGGGACCACAGTCATATAACGTAGTTGGACATTGAAATGTTATGTGGTGCATGACTGTCTTTAAGAAGTGCTGCTAGGCCACTGCCCTCCAGCCTGAGACACACTGAGACTCTGTCTCTAAAAAAAAAAAAGTGCTGCTAGTCAATACAATGTAAAAATATAAACTTACTGTCATTATCAATTCATTCCCTTGAACCTAAAAATAATCTCAACAAAATGAATCTTCCTTATTTCTGTGATAAGTCCTTTCTTTTTTTCTTCTGTCCTTTGTCCCAAGGAGAAAGGATTCACTTGGGTCCCTGTGAGAAGAGCTTCTTTAGCACTCTAAAATTAGAAAAGTATACCCAAGGGAAAGCAGGTTCCTCCCAATTCCCTAGAAGAGTAGAGGACCAAATCTTTATCCTAGGTCCTGCTTTATGGCTGTATGTGTGTCCTTGCTGGCACAGATGCCTTCCATATAAGGACTCAGCTACCCTAGCTGCCAGATTTCTGCTTGAAACACTGCCTGCTAGTGTTGAAGCTTTTAAACAATTTACATCCACAGTGATGAAGCAAGAACAGTGTTTTATTTACACTGCATCTACCCTATACTCTCTTTTTCTACCTCGCATCTCCAAATCAGAGGGCTTTATTGGCTTTGTGCCTTATTCGTTTCCACCCACCAGTGGTGATCTCAGGAGGCAGGGTTGCAATTTAGTCATCAGTGATTTCCTCAGGTCCTAACTGATAGAGATCTAAAACTGATAGAGATCTCTGCCTTTACAAACATTTTTCATTTTAATCGATAGTCTTAATGGGAGTAGATCTGCACATTCTTATAACCACCCCGAAGTCCTTATCCAACAAAAGCGCATTTGTATATATATTTTCATCCATTTTACATAAGTGTATCAGCTAGTTGTTAAAGTGCCCAGACTACAGTTTGTCTTAACACATATTTTCATAGCAAAAACCACTTTGTTTCACAACTTGACAAAGTCCACATTAGGATTTGTTGGAAAATTAAAAGTCTTTTTTTTTTTTTTTTTTGAGACGGAGTTTCCTTTTTGTTGCCCAGGCTGGAGTGCAGTGGTGCGATCTTGGCTCACCGCAACTTCCAACTCCCAGGATCAACTGATTCTCCTGCCTCAGCCTTCCCAGTAGCTGGGATTACAGGCATGTGTCACCACGCCCAGCTAATTTTGTATTTTTAGTAGAGACAGGGTTTCTCCATGTTGGCTAGGCTGGTCTCAAACTCCCGAACTCAGGTGATCTGCCGGCCTTGGCCTCCAAAGTGCTGGGATTACAGGACTGAGACACTGTGCCTGGCTGGCAAATTCAAATTCTTTACTCACAAAATGATAAAAGGAAGGAGACACAGCTGAAAGTAAATGTGTAAGAGTTGACAGAATTAGTACAAGTGAATAGCTGTGGAACCTAGGGGATGCAGGAATCAAGGTAGATAAAGATATCTGCTTAATTCATGTTAGCATGAATTGGCCATGGTTGACATCACAGAAGTGGGTAAACATATCAAATAAATGAATCCTTTCTTAAACAAAAAACACATAAAACTTATTTTACTCCCTTAAAGAGAAATATTATCAAAATATTGCCACATTCCTGGTAGGTTAATACCAGTTGAGATGACTGCATTGTCATTCCAGGGCCAAGAAAGCAACTTTAAAAACATGCAGATGCTGTAGTCTAGATGTGTCCCTCAAAATTCACATTTTGAAATCCTAACCCCAAAACTGATGGTTTTAGAAGATGGCCTCTTGGGAACTGAGGAAGAGGATTAAGGTCCTTATAGAACAGGCTCAAGGGAGCCCCTCTGCCCTCTCCATCATGTTAGGACAGAGGCAGAAGGTGCTATCCACTAAACAGAAAGCACCCCTCCCTAGACACACCTTGCTCTTGGACTTTCCAGAAATGTGAACAATAAATTTCTATGGTTCATAAGCTGTCCGGTCTATGATATTTTGTTATGGAAGTCCTAAAGGATCAAGCCATCCCAAAACAGCACTGTTGCCCGCTCCATCTTTTTGTTACCTCACCTAGGATAACACCATACCCATTCCACCGTTAAGCCCTCCCTCTTTAGTATGAACGTGCTTGGAAGCGTGAGTAATCCTGACACCTTTTTTTCTTCCTAAAGAACGATACGTACCAATTAACAGGATCGGTTATTAATAGTACTAGATTCTATGCATGAAGCCTATATGTATTTAAAAATATGTTATCTGGAGCTAGACCGCCTGGGAACAAATCCCAGCTTACTAGACAGGCTGCTTAGCCTTTATTTGGACTCATTTTACTCATTTGTCAAACAAGGGCAATTTGCGATTTCATAGGGTTGCTACGAGGATTTTAAAAAGCTCTTGGAACACAGCCTAATACTCAGAAATCAATAAACGTGACCTCTCTTAAAAGGTTTCCAGAAATATTCTCGACAGGTTAGGTCGGTTAATCATTACACCGCTTTCCAGTGTAAGGGAGGTGAACAGGTATTTAGCACCACACAATTCCACTCTGGGATCTGAACAGCTCTCGGTAGTCTACTGTCCCTTCCCGACAAGGACACTTCAGATAAAAAGGCTCTTCCGCCAGGTCCGCAGCCAGCACCGGGCGGAGCCCGGAGGCGAGCCAGAGTGCTCCGAAGGCCGGCGCCTCTCTGGGCCCAACGAAGTACAGCTGTTACTTTGCAGCAATCTGAGTAAACCCCAGAAGATTCTGAGGCTTCCAAAACAGAACCGACGAGAACACTCAGAGGAAGCCTTCCCAATTCCTGACTCTGTCGCTTCAAGGGGAAGGAAGGTCGCCGCAGCAAGCAACGCCGAGCCCTCGAGAAGGCGGGGTCCGCAGGGCGCCGCGGGCCCACCGGAGGACCCGGGGTGGGGCGGGGCTGGCGAAGCGCGAGGACCCCGGGCCGAGGTGTGGGGCTGACCATAGCATGCCGGATGCCGATGTGAACATATACCACCCGCTCCTGTAGTGTCCATGCCCGCGCCGCAGGATCCGCGGAGCTGCCATTATCGAGACTCTCTTGCCTATTGCCCTACGGCTTTAATCCTTCTAGTGCAGGAGAAAAATAGAACCCTAAAGACAGGCAGCTCCTAGGCACCAGCACAGGAAATAAGCAATGGGGGTGGGGTCCTTTGCTCGCGCCGAAATTCAAAGGAATAAATAGTTCCGGCGCGGGTGTTGAGAGCGGGGTGGCGGGGATTGTAGCAGCTATGGTGAAATTCGCTTCGTAGCAGCCGCGGCTAGAGAATTGTCCTGCTCCCCTCCTTTGTCAACCCGAGGAGTTTTTGGAGTGCGTCAAACCCTGGCCTGAGGCAGCGGTGAGGCATCTACCTGAGCGCGGCCGGTTGAGCGCGGCTAGGCTTCCTGGCGGGAGGCGGGGGCTGCGGGGAGGACGCCTAGTGGTAAAAAGGGGCCTCAGGTGACCATAGGAATAAAGCCTAATTCCTGTTCGGCCTTTGAGTAGGGCAGAGAGGTGTAGACAGGCCTGGAGAAGCTAGGTCACAGCCTGAGTAAAAGCTAGAAGTTGGAGAATGTGAGAGATACATCTCATCTCTAGTAAATACTTAAATGCCTTCCCTTCCTCCCGCGGTCAAGCACAATTCGGGGATGCCATGATGGATGTAGGTGAAGAACCTACAGGAACTTATAGACAGATAATGACCGTCTGACATTAGCTTTAAGTACCATGAAGGAAAAAGCCGAGTGAAGGAATGTGGAGAGGTGACATAGGAATGTCCGGGAGGACTTCAGTAAGGTGACATTTGAGCAGAGACGTGCGTGCAGTAGAGAGTAAGCTATGCCAGTATCAGAGAAAAGCACGTTATGGGCAAAGAGAACGAGATATGAAATAATTCGTAGTCTTTGCTAGCTAGAGTATGGTAAAAGTAGAAGGCAAACCTGGAAAAACAGGTAGGAGAAATAGTTAAGACTTCCTTCCCAGTTGAGTGGTTTAATTTCCAGGCGGTGGCTGGCTCTGGTATATTTTCGAGTAAGTGAAAGTTGTCTATATCAGACGAGATAGTTTGTCAAGTGGCTGTCTTATTTCTGTCGCCCTCTTATTCCTGTTTTTGCCTCTCGTGTTCATTATGATTCTAGGTTCACATTCCACTTAGACGGTGTTATTTCTGTTTCGTATAGAACTGGTTTGTGGCCTGTTTGATGCCTGTCAGAGGTTTGCTGACGCAAAACAGTGTCGAAAATGCATATTAAGTCAATTGTTCTAGAGGGATTCAAGTCCTATGCTCAGAGGACCGAAGTCAATGGTTTTGACCCCCTCTTCAATGCTATCACTGGTTTAAATGGTAGTGGAAAATCCAACATATTGGACTCCATCTGCTTTTTGCTGGGCATCTCCAACCTGTCTCAGGTAAAGTGTAAACTTTCTCATTTGTGTGAATTTTAAGTTTGGCAGGAGAATCCTTACTGAACTTTGGAGATTTACCAATATTTTCTTCATTTGTGTTTTTGTACATTTTGTAAATTACACCTCACTGCAACCTTTTAAGGAAAGTAATATTACTCCTTTAGATGAGAAAATAAACAGAGAGGTTGCCTAAGGTTCATCCTTTTAAGATGTTTAGAAATAACAATGTCTCAAAACTCAGGCATTCTGACTTTAAAGTGGTCTCATTCCAGAGTATTTTCACCCCTGTGTAATGATGCCTTTCCAAATCCTATTCATGGATTGGATGACTGGTGAAAATCATGGGCACTGTCTTTATATCTTGCAAAGTAACTTTTTGTCGAAAAACGAATAGGAAACAATTCAGAATTGAAAGCATTCTGTAGAGAAAAATGTCCACTGCAGGTTGTTGCCTCTTTTCCTTATTTTTCCTGCCAGAGGATGCAGCTGCCTATCCTTGTCTGCTTAATGGACACAATATTGGTGGGTTTTCCAACAGCAAGGAATCCATTTTTAGTGCTGCTTTGTATATAGGGAGTTTTGTAATTTATAAACTTTTCATCCTTTATTTTAGGTTCGGGCTTCTAATTTACAAGATTTAGTTTACAAAAATGGGCAGGCTGGTATTACCAAAGCCTCGGTGTCAATTACTTTTGATAATTCTGACAAAAAGCAAAGTCCTTTAGGATTTGAGGTTCATGATGAAATCACAGTAACAAGGCAGGTGAGTGCCCGATTAAACATTTTGGTATCTTAAGAAGTTTTATGTCTGATGTGTTTTTTGGCCTATGCCTTTGCATCAAAGTGCTAGAGGAAGTTCATGTGCAAAATTGGTGCATTAAATTCTGACTGGATTCCTTAAGAATATTTTCCTTATATTAAAATTTTGATCATGGACATTCTATCACTAAGAGGATTGAAAGAGAGCTGAAAAGTTATTCATCCAATATAAGTACTCAATAAATGAAATCTTAAACATACATGAATCTTCTCTGGCTGTTCTTGAACACTGGCGTACCTGAGATCTTGAAGTCTTCTGAGATAACCTATTCTGTTTTTGGATAGGTCTTATTAGTTATTCCTATAAATTTTGTCATAGTATGCTGTCTTAAAATTTTATACACTGATCCTTGTCCTCTTGAGAGCACCAAGAGCAAATCTAATTTATTCCGTTTCAGTGTTTAAGTGATATGCAAGTATACAAATTTCAGTTCTAAGTGAAATCTTGCCAGGTCTTTTTCTAGTTCCTTCACTTGCCTAATTATACCAAGTATGCTCCAGTTTACTTCCCTGCCCTCCATTTATCTATCTTTCTATTTCTTTTAATGGCATCTTAGATTGAGTGTATCGGAATTGGTCCAGTTAGAGTTATTATTTCATTTTAGACATTCTACTTTTATTTTTCCCATAGAGCATTGGAGTGTTGATAATACATTGTGGATTCATATTAGATTTACTTGAAACCACTAAAATTTTTTTAGGTGTGTTATTAATATAGTCAGGCAGTGTTTTCAGCTTGTCAAGGTTTTAAATGTTGGCAGCTCCCATATACTATCCATCTTTGCATTATGTCACTTACAGATTTTCTTCTCTATTTTAATGAACACCTCTGGTTAAAAAAAAAAAAAAATGGTCGACTAGGTTGGGACAGAAATGATCTATGCCATTAGGCATCCATCAAATATTTACCCTCTAGGAATTGTCACTAAATCTCATACTAATCCACGTAATTTTTCCTGTCCTCATTCAGGCCATAAACCTGTATCTTCATCAAAGTTTTGTCATAAAGTTCTTGTCAGAGAGATCTCTTCAAAGACGTTAATATATGAACTACCAACACAGTAATCCTGTCAGGAAAAGAAATGAACTAACATTTATTCAATATTAATTTAAGTGCCTGATGTACATTGGGTGTTCTTGAATGTATTGGGATGCACAGTTAGAAGAATGAGAAACAGTGCTTGTCTTTAAGGACCTCAATCTGGTAGATGAGATGGTCATACCCAATAAATGACAATTTAAGTGTGATAGCAGAGTATGGTGTCTGGCACGACTTAATGAAATCATACTGAAGCTCCATGATTACCCTTTCTTTTAAATAGTCACAAATCATCTCTTTATTAATAGCTTTTTGAATTTTGTCATGAGTTAATGTCAAGCTACTTTGTCTGACTTCTATTCCCATTATAAAGTAGAGAGAGTTACCCTCTGTAGAAAAGGAACAAAGAAGGTAACTAGGAAAGGCAAGTATGTTTTACATATACTTGGAAACATAAAGCTAGAAGTTACCTGAGAGACCGAGTCTGGTGCATAGCAGAGTAAAAGGCTTGTGTGTAATTATGTAACTAGTTAGCAGAAGTACTTGGATTAAACACTAGGTGTCCTGACTCAGCGATTTTGGCCATGTCATGCTTGTCGGACTATGCAGAATTGTTTTGTTTACTGCTAGTCAGACAGAACAAATAAATGTAAGCTAATATACTTAGTAATTTATCACAGCCCAAGGTGTGCATGTACACTAATATTTAAAATATTGCTTTCTTTTTTAGGTGGTTATTGGTGGTAGAAATAAATATTTAATCAATGGAGTAAATGCCAACAACACCAGAGTACAGGATCTCTTCTGTTCTGTTGGCCTTAATGTTAACAACCCCCACTTTCTCATCATGCAGGTATTCTGTTTGAGGTCTTTATATCTCTTTCATAATAGTTTTGACATTTTTTACTTGAAAGTAATTACAATAGAAGGACCTTATTTTTGGATTTTATATTTTCTATTTATTATTCTGCTGTGTCCGGCCATCTGTTAAGAAATGTGGTTTAGTTACTTGCATTAATATATTCTATATTATGGGCCTTTGAATTCTCTAGAATGTTTGGAATTAGATTTCCTTGACTTTTTATTTTGTCACTCAATAATACATGTTAACTGTACAAAAATTGTCATAATATGTCCTTTTAAATTATTGGATTAATGACTTAATATTACAAGTATAAAAGTTTGCATAATTTTCTTATTTAGAGACACACAAATGAGGGATAAAGGCCGATTTTATTTTACATTTACACTATTTAATTTGACTCTTCCAGCTATCCTTTGAGAGAATTACAGTAAAGTCAATGGGAGTGTGTCAGTGGAACCAAAATAAAAATATTTCCACTACATCAGAGCTTCAAAGCTGAAAATTTACTTTAAGTGAATCTACATTCTAGTAATATGATTCTCTGAGACCTGAGTGTGCAGGCTTTTTACTTGTTTTTGGTAATGAATGAATTTAATGGTTTTCTGGCATTGATAGGAAAAATTTTATTCTATTTGAGACCTGGAAGTATGTTATCTGTTTTGTGAAATTATCCTGGAGGGTTATCATTCAAACAAATTTTAAAAGTTTATCAATTATGCTAAAATTTCTTCTTATATTTATGTGTTTTAAAATTGAATATTTCTACCTATTAATGTTAACTGTTTCAGAAACCTGGTCCTTGTTAACTTTGTATCATTTAATGGATTATTTCATTTGTATCATTTCATAACTTGCCTAATTTGTATCACTGGTGAGTGAGAAAGTGAATAGCAAAGTTCCAAAATTCTAGAATTGTAGAAGAAAGACCCCCAAAGATTGGTATATTGAGTCACAGTAGTTTCAGTCTAGATAAACATGAATGCCAGTACAGATAAACATTTTCTGTAATTTGTTATCTTAGTAAGTTTGCCATTTTATTTTCAGGGCCGAATTACGAAAGTATTGAATATGAAACCTCCAGAGGTAAGAGTACCATTTATGGATGTTAAAAATAGTGGGTATAGATATTATTTTAATCTTTCAGAGAGTCCATTTAAAAATATTTTTTCTATTAAAAATTTTTGGAAACATTGTTTATTTAGGAATGATTAGTAAAGACAGTTGTATGTTTGTGTAATATTTGGCACTATGCCCAAATATTAAAATTGATTTTGATTGTATAAAGGAGTCTTGCTTAACTGGTGTTTGTCAGAATTCATTCCTACAGAAAAAGCCTACAGGATAAGATTTGTGTGAAATTACTGTATTTTTATGATTCCTTTGGGCCAAATTTTGCTAAGATGTTTAGCAATGTCAGGGCAAAAGTGATATACTTAATGTAAATTCCAGTGGGACACTTTGTCTTGGATACTAAACATTAATAAAATTGTCATTCCAGATTTTATCCATGATAGAAGAAGCAGCTGGAACCAGGATGTATGAATACAAAAAAATAGCTGCACAGAAAACTATAGAAAAAAAGGAGGCAAAGCTGAAAGAAATTAAGACGGTAAATTAATTCATATAAAACATTTTTGGAGAAGAATGTAAATTTGGGCTAAGAGTTTTTGCTGTAAAGAGGGAAGAATTTTTTTTTCTTGGTTCAGTTTTCCATAGTCATCCATGCTACTTCTCTTCCAAATAAATATTAATGGTACTTTATATACTGAAAATACTGATTTTACTTTATTTTCCAGATACTTGAAGAAGAGATCACTCCAACCATTCAAAAATTAAAAGAGGTATATTCTGTATATGTGAAGATAATCAATTAGAATGTCTTTCAAAAGTCAGTGATGTATCCAAAATCATACACATAGTGATACTATTTCTCGGGGATTTTTTTCTGCAGTGAGTTAAAGAATTAGAGTTGGCACTGTATAGGCTCAGCCTTCCGCTTGCAGAAGATACGTACTTATCTACTAAGTCATAAGATACTGGAGAGTAATTTTTATAGTTTCAGAAAATGGTATGCCAAATTTTAATACTTCATAGAAGTATTAATTAGGATTGACTGGAACAACATTTGTTAAAGATAATGGCACTCTTAGAAACCCTCATTGACAGAGTGGAAATTTCCAGGATAAGGACTGTCAGTATAATTATTGCTGTCAAGGTATTTTGTAAGCAAAAGGTATAAAAACAGAATTGCGTTTTCTCTGTAATCTTTGCAGCTCCTGACATCAAAAACTGTGGCAGTATTTTGTGAAAGAATGCATTTATAAACTCCATTTTTTTTTTTCTTGAGACAAGTCTCACTCTGTTACCCAGGCTGGAGTTCAGTGGCATGATCGCAGTTCACAGCAGCCTCCACCTCCCAGGCTTAAGGGATCCTCCCACCTTAGCCTCCTGAGTAGCTGGGACTATAGATGCATGCCGCCACTGCCTGCTAATTTTATATTTTGTTTTTTTTTGTAGGATGGGTTTCTTCTTGTTGCTTAGGCTCGTCTTGAACTCCTGGGCTCAAGTGATCCACCTGCCTTGGCCTCTCAAAGTGCTGGGATTATAGGAGTGAGCCACTGTGCCCATCCAAACAATGTTGTTTTTAAAGATATCCATTTAGGAATTTATTAAATGCTTATTGAAATTTTGTACTAAGACTTAAAGCTGTCTTGTGAATCCATATAGTAGTGTAGATTTTACTGGAAAAAGTATCATCTTGAAGGTACGCTTTTTGTATGCATGATTTAGTAGAAACCATCAGGAATTTAAACTTAGGTCCTAGACTTGATCTGGTGCAATTTCTTCCTAAATCTAACAACGTGGACAGATCATTTAATCATTCTAAATTTGTTTTTTATGTCTAAATTAAGGATTTTAGTTGTGACTTTGTCTGGTCCCAATAGGTCCTTGTGGGAATCAAGTTTAGTAATAATGTGAGCAAATGCTTGTAGTAGTTAGTGCTTAAAATAATGGGTAGGCATCTGGGTAATACTACAGAATTAATTTAATAGTGTATCATTGGTGGGTGTGTAAGTTGTCTTTAATCGACTAATTAACACTAGCTTACGAAACTTATGTCCATATTTCTTTAAAAGAAATAGCCAAAAGATTCACTAAATATGGTATAATGCTATCTAAAAATCCTGACTTCTAATATTATGTAAAGTTTCCTCCATTTTAAAATGTTATAATTGTTTAATACAGAATGAAATCTGTTATGTAATGAGAAATTTAATACATGTTGCATAATTGATTTTGTGTTTTTTTTTTCTAATACAATTTTGAGTTATTCTTTTTTTGTGACTTCTTTCCTTTCAGGAAAGATCTTCCTACTTGGAGTACCAAAAAGTAATGAGAGAAATAGAACATTTGAGTCGTTTATATATTGCTTATCAGTTTTTGCTGGCTGAAGATACCAAAGCACGCTCAGCTGAGGAGTTAAAAGAAATGCAAGATAAAGTTATAAAGCTTCAGGAAGAATTGTGTGAGAACGATAAAAAAATAAAAGCACTTAATCATGAAATAGAAGAATTGGAAAAAAGAAAAGATAAGGTCTGAACATATGTATTAGAATGGATAATGTGCTCTGAAAAAAGTATTAAATTATAGTAACTATTTAGGATTCGATGGGCATTGTCTTCCATATTGATTTGTTAATCTTGCCGTAAGATAGGGAAATAACTTATAAAAAAGTGTTTATTTGATACAGAACTCATACAAGAAAATGACAACAGGAACAAATTTTACATAAGTGAATTGGCTTATTTTATTACAGGAAATAGGAGGTATACTTCGATCTTTAGAAGATGCTCTTGCGGAGGCTCAGCGAGTTAATACTAAAACTCAAAGTGCTTTTGATCTCAAGAAGAAAAATCTGGCATGTGAAGAAAGCAAACGCAAAGAGCTGGAAAAAAATATGGTTGAGGTAAGTGAGCTTAATATGTCTCTAGTGTATGTTTATCTATTGCATGAATATTTAGTGAGTATCTACTCAGAGCTAAATATAGTTGTCTGGGCTAGGGTTACAACTTGATCAGTGGTCAAAAGTCCTTGTCTTGTGGGTCTTCATTCCATTGGGGGAAATGATAATAAAATAAATAAAACATATAACATGTTATATAGTGATAACTAATGTGGAGAAAAAGTAAAGCGGGGCAGGGGATTAGGAGTGTAGGGGGAAAAGGGTACAATTTGGGATTTTAAATTGGGTAGCCATTGAAGTAAGGTGGAGAATAGGAAGAACAGGTTTCATAAGCTTAAGAAATAAAGGATGAGTGTAATAGGCTTGAGGAGCCTGTTAGACATCTTAAGAAATGATGTTGATTAGGTACTTAAATATATGAATATTGAATCTCAGCAAACATACAGATTTGGAGGGATCATCAATGTACAGGTGTTATTTAAATCCATAAGACTAGATAAAATTATCAAGACTGTAAGTTTATATAGGAAGTTTGGAGCCCTGGGATATTTTCACTATTATTGTTGGAATATCTCAACATTCAAAAGAGATTGAATAGTGTAAGAAAAATTATGCAGGTAAGTTGTCCTTGAGTCTAGGTTAAAAAGATGTTTCAAGGAGAAGTGGCCATGAGTGCCTGATTAGATTGTGTTTATACTTCCACAGAATGAGGGCAGAAAAAATTAAAAGTGAATATAGATAACTTTTTGAGAAGTTTTCTGAAAGGAGGATAAATAGGGAGCTAATGAGGGTAATACAGAAGAGTTTTTTTGACTTGATTTTACATGGGATAAATAAATTCCTTATTGGCAGAAAAGATCCAGTAGAAAAGGCGTCATTTATGATTCAGAAGAGAGAGATGGGAGAGTTGTTAAAATAGGGCCCCTTAGTTGCTGAAAATAGGATAGGAACTAGTGTATAATTAGAGGAGGTCGCATTTGCAAGAACTAGGAATAGGTCATCCATAGTAACAGAAGAGTTGAGTATATAGTCTCACATGTATGTAGATGAGTAGGTGTGTTTTTGGAGCTTGTGGTACTTCTTTTGAGGGTGATTCTGTTCTTCAGTGAGGATAAACATTTGCGTTTTCACTGGAAAAAAAATTAACTTTGTCAAAATAATTTATTTGCCCTCTTAGATATTTTTGCAGATAAATACAGTTGTTGAATTAAGAAACTGGAGGAAAATTTAGGCAAATTTTGAAGCAATATGAATCATGTAGCAGTTTGTGTTGCGGCATCCAACAGTTCAAACCAGTTCATTAATTACTTTTTTTAAGTGAGGTTTGTCAAGCTCTAAACATATGAACCTGCCTTGGTTTGGGTTCATTTTTCCTTAGTCTTGTCATGTCCTTAAGCTTCACACACTGATGCTGCTTGCTCCTTTTTCATCTTTTTCTGTATTCCTGTTTCTCCACATCCTCTCCAGCATCTGTTGTCTCCTGATTTTTTAATGATTGCCATTCTGACTGGTGTGAAATGGTATCTCAGTGTGGTTTGATTTGCATTTCTCTAATGACCAATGATGATGAGCTTTTTTTCATGTTTGCTGGCTGCATAAATGTCTTCTTTTGAGAAGTGCCTGTTCATATCGTTCGTCCACTTCTTGATGTGTTGTTTTTTTTTTTCTTGTAAATTTGTTTAGGTTCTTAGTAGATTCTGGATATTAGCCGTTTGTCAGATGGGTAGATTGCAAAAGTTTTTTTCCCATTCTGTTGGTTCACTCTAATGATAGTTTTTTTTGCTGTGCAGAAGCTCTTAGTTTAATTAGATCCCATTGGTCAATTTTGGCTTTTGTTGCCATTGCTTTCGGTGTTTTAGTCATGAAGTCTTTGACCATGCCTATGTCCTGAATGGTACTGCCAAGGTTTTCTAGTAGGATTTTTATGGTGTTAGGTCTTAGTTTAAATCTTTAATCCACCTGGAGTTAATTTTTGTATCAAGTGTAAGGAAGGGGTCCAGTTTCTGCTCTGCACAAGGCTAGCTAGTTATCCTGACACTGTTTATTAAATAGAGAATCCTTTCCCCATTGTTTGTTTTTGCCAGGTTTGTCAAAGATCAGATGGTTGTAGATGTGTGCCGTTACTTCTGAGGCCTCTGTTCTGTTCCATTGGTCTGTATCTCTGTTTTGGTACCAATACCATGCTGGTTTGATTACTGTAGCCTTGTAGTATAGTATGAAGTCAGGTAGCATGATGCCTCCAGCTTTTTTTTTTTTTTTTNTTTTTTTTTTTTTTTTTGCTTAGCATTGTCTTGGCTATGTGGGCTCTTTTTTTGTTTCATAAGAAGTTTAAGGTGTTTTTTTCCAATTATATGAAGAAAGTGAGTGGAAGCTTGATGGGGATTACTTTGGACAGTATGGCCATTTTCATGATACTGAGTCTTCACAAAGGGGATTTTTTTTTTTTAACATTCCAGTCACTCATTTGCCCTTCTGCCCAGATGGCTAGGCTTTTTTCAGTAGCCTGTGAGTTGGTAAAATGTAGCAAGATACGGTGATGGGATGGCCCGAATGGACATCACCACTGCATATGGTTTGGGCCATTGAGCATAATGTCCATGTTCAGTCTCAGTCAAAAGATGACCATTTATTGACCTGATGCTGGTTACAGTCAAGAGGATCCTCTGGTTTTGATGGAACTTTGAGTAAACCATGCTGTGCCATTGGTAGGCACATCTCAGAATCTTGGGAGCCAGAGGAAAAGCCAAAGCATCCTCTGTTGGTTGTTTGGACCTTTCTAATAAACTAGCCATTTTTTCCTGAAACCTACTGGTCCCTTGGGGCTCCAACTTGGCCTGATTTCAAATGTACCATTTCCGTTTGATAATCGAGCTCTTTTGAGCCTGCCCCAATTCATTGATAGGGTTTATAAGCACCCAAGTAAGAATGGGCAGTTTAAGTCACAGAGTCGCATGTAGTGCTCTGGCCTTAAGACACACAGTCTCCACCAGTGCACAATAGCAAGCAAGAAGTTATTATTCCAAAGGGTTATATCGGGTGGCTGCCTCAAGCAACTTAAAAGTTCAACTTCTGAGAGGCTGGGTTTCCCCAGTGACAATTTTCTGTTGCCGTAGACTTCAGTCAGCATGCATAGAGATTGTGGGCACGTATCATTGCATCAGGCTAACGGTATAAATGTTTCAAAAGCAGCACCAAGGCCACCACTTTAAATTATCTTCTAAGGCCTGCTACTGCAAAGTGTTCTGTTCAAATTTGGCGGCTTTGTTGGGCACCTGGATTAAAGGGGGCCAAAAAAGACACCCACTTGGGTAACATGCTGTGTTTATGTACCCAAGAGACCTACCAGCTGTGGGGCTTCATTTTTATTAATGACTGCCACCAGCACCAACAATTTTTGTTTGACTACATCTGGGATACTTCCTTGGCTTAGTGTCCGTGTGACCTTGGCATTCAACCTGTGACCTTCCAGTTTTAGTCTTCATGCCCCACACGCCTTTCTGACCAGCCAGACTAGGCCATTGTGACATTCTTATCTATAGTGGGTTTTAATTAAGAAAGTAATAGGCCATTGTGACATTCTTATCTATAGTGGGTTTTAATTAAGAAAGTAATGTCTTATTCTCCACTTGGTACACAGTACTGGTTTTATTGAGTAACATATGAGGTCTTGAGTAACAGGTGGCAGGCCGATGTGGATATGCGCCACTGGTATAGCTCAAATTCTTAGCTGCGAGGGGCATACCTCCTCAGGTGGTCGTGGTGATCTGCATTACAGGCAACCAAACTATCAGTATCCATACTCATTGGTGGGAACTGTAGTCACCAGCACCCAAAGTGACACAAATTATCCTACTCACAAGCAGATAAGCATAGTGAGTCATTACATTCGCCTGAAACCCTCCCATGGTCATCAGTTTAATTTTTCCCTAGGAAAACTGGAAGTATGTCCTGTGGGCTCCAATATCCAAGAACTCCAGAAAAGCCTATTTCATTTGTTTTTCTCATCTTGATGAGGATATAGGGCCATCTTTGGTGGGGACCTGGAAACCTTGGTCCCGCTCTAAACTATGCCACTTAGCCATTTGGATCCACAGAGTCCCTTTATTAAACACTTCAACCAGACTGTATAAGCCTTCCCTGGCCTTTCTGTATACCTGTCCTCTAGCTAGTGAGCCTCCTTTTCTATGAAGGCCTACATTGTACGTGTTAGTTTTCTCAAATGCCTCAGGGACTGTCTGTTCTCTCAGGATCCATCTGACTACCCACTTCCTGAGCTCTCTGGCCCTGGGAATGAGCAATTACATGTGTCCAATAACCAGGGATCATGTGCTGAGCTTCCTCATTTCTCCTTTTCTCTCTGCCTTAATCCATGCAGCCAGCTCATTCATTGAAGAGGTCATCTATATTCCATTTATTATGCCACCTCCTTTATAAAACATCAAACTGCATATTCAAACCCCTCAACACTTCAGGGTGACATCTCTGCCCTGGGCTGGGAAGGGAAAGGGTGAAGCCATTCCAGCTTCATCAGTAAGCCATGATTCTGTCAGAACAGATCCTACTACCTGTACTGATGATGTGAAACAAGTTCACTATGCACTAGTTACCAACTTGTTGGTGTTTATAGAACTCACTCATACAGCACAAGTTATGTGTGACAGATTTACTTCTTACATATCGGCAGTAATAGACAGTAGAAGCTTAGGTTTCATGGTAGGCCAACCCACAAGGGTTGGATGGAGTTTCATCTGTATGTTCCCCATACAGCTGAGGGATCGCAGAAAGTAGCTTGCCCTGTGTTTATACCCCTGGCTATAAACCCAGACATGATTGACTGGTTGACATGAGTTCCTGAGCTAAAGCATGAAAGGACATGCATGTTTCTAGGAGGGAACTGAACTAGAATATGGATTATACAGGCTATTCCCTCTATCAGAGTGTTGCATTTTCTAGCACATTCTACAGTTGTTTTTGAGAACTGCAACTGAGAAAGGGAGAACAAAGTTAGTCTAAGGACACCCAAGTAGTTGTCCAATGAAATCTAGATTCCTTTGTCCAGCTACTCAGTTAACATTTTTACCTGGATGACTTTTAAAAAGTGTAAAACTTAACATATCCAGAATAGATTTAGGAATTTTCCTCACTTACCCAAACCCACCTAAGTTACTGCATTTTCCTCATGTTGGTAAATCTTACCACTATTTACCTAATTGTAAGTTAGGTAAATTCTGACCTAATTTAGGCCAGAATCCTACAGTCCTTCTGGATTCTTGCCTTTCTTTAAATATCTAGATCCACTCCATCAACAAATTCTGTTGACTTTAAAAGTATAATGAGAATACTGCCACTTTTTGTTACCTCCATTACTGCCAACCTCATTCAAGCCATGACTTATCGTGAGGGTAGCTGCAGTAATGTTCCTGTTAGTTGCCCTACTGTTTTCTTCTTGCCACTCTGTAGTGTGTTTTTTACAGAAGCTAAAATATAAGTTGAATCACATCACTCCTGTGCTTAAAATCCTTTGGTGATTTCAGAGTTACGTGTACACTGTATGACACTTGGACAATATGGGTTTGAACTGCATGGATCGACTTGTCGGCAGATTTTTCTCAAATATTTTGGAAAATTATTTGGAGGTCTGCAGCAATTTGAAAAAAACTTGCAGACAAATACCATATTGCCTAGAAATAAAAAGATAAAATGTCATAAACGCACAAAATATATGTAGGCACTAGTCTTATTTTATCATTTACTACCATAAAATATGCAAAAATCTGTCACTAAAAGTTAAAACTTATCAAAACTTACACAAACCCCATACTTGGCACTATTTGCAGTTGAGAGAAATATAAACAAATGTAAAGATGCAGGTTTTTTTGTTTTGTTTTGTTTTTTTGAGACAGTCTCGTTCTGTTGCCTAGGCAGGAGTGCAGTATCGCAATCTTGGCTCACTGCAACATCCATCTCCTAGGTTCAAGTGATTCTCCTGCCTAAGCCTCCCAGGTAACTGAGATTACAGATGCATGCCACCACGCCTGGCTAATTTTTTTTGTAGTTTTAGTAGAGATGGGGTTTCACCGTGTTAGCCAGGTTGCTTTTGATCTCCTGACCTTGTGATCCGCCCGCCTCAGCCTCCCAAAGTGCTGGGATTACAGGCGTGAGCCACCACACCCAGCCCAGATGCAGCATTAAATGATAACTGCATAAAACTAACTATAGAACATAGTGCACTACTGTAATAATTTTGTGACTACCTCCTATTGCTGTTGTGTGAGCTCAAGTAAACTCAGTGTGACATTAATCATTTACTTCTTAGTGGTTCATGTTTCCAGTGAGTTGCAGAGCTCAGTAGAAAGTGATTTCTTGTGGTTCTCATGTATTTTTCATCATGGATGAAAAATGCCATAAACCTGAATAACATGAGATCCATATGAAGTGCCACTAGTGATACTGAAAATGCTCCCATAAAGCAGAGAGAAGTCAGGATGCTACAAGAAAAAGTTGAGTTGCTTGATAATGTACGGTAGATTGACATCTGCAGCTATGGTCGCCTGCCTTTTCAGACATGATTTATCTTGTAAACACATGATGTAAACTGACGATGTCAATAAATACACTACAGTACTGTATCTTCCTTATGCTTTTCTTAACATTTTCTTTTCTCTAGCTTACTTTAAGAATACAGTATTTGTTGTAGCATACAAAACATGGATTAATCGTGTTATTGGTAAGGGTTTGGTTAACAGTGGGCTATTCTTAGTTAAGTTTTTGGGGGAATCAAAATATATGTGATTTTCGACTGCATGGTAGGTCTGTACTCCAACCCCCATGTTGTTTAAGGATCAACTATATAATTAAATCTAAATCTTTACCATGGCCTGCAAGGTGCTTCATGATACGACTCTTGGCTCCTTAACCATTTACTCACTGTGCTCCTAGCCCAGTTCCTCAAACACGTTCCTCAGGGCTTGTCGAGTGTACTGCCCCACATGTATCTGCACAGTATCACTTCGTTCCTCAGGGCTTGTCGAGTGTACTGCCCCACAGTATCTGCACACATGATACCACATGTATCACTTCCCTCACTTCATCCAGTCTTCTCTTCAAATGGCATCTCAAAGGCCTTCTCTTATTATTATTCTTAAGGTAATAGTTTGTATCACTCTATTCCCGTACTTGATTTGTTTGTTTACTATATCTTGAATATCAGCTCCCTTAGGACAGCGACTCAGTCTGTGTCTTTAATGTCTTAGACAAGGCCTGCTATATATAAGCGCCTAATAAATATTTGATGAATCATGAACTAATCAAGTGGGCCAGGATTTCTTGTCACTTTAATTGTAAATAAGATTGCTAAATTTTCTTTTTTAAGTGCTGGTATCTTGCAGTGTCAGATACCTGGTTAATATTACTTAAAAGATGTTATGTGATAGTAATACTTTTTGTAAAAGGAATGCTCACATTTTTATGGCTCTTGACAGTTTATAAAATATTTCCATATACATGCTCTTAATTCTAAAATCTCTACTTTTGAGTTAGTTTAGGATATCTGTTATTTAAGTTTTACAGCTTTAGAAATTCATTTTTAGTTCTTTCAAGTGATTTGTTTAAATCTGCAATTGTTTTTTAACCCAGTGTCTCATGGATTTAATGTGTAACATGGAATGAAAATATTTCATGTAGTATAAGAGTTTCATTTATTCTAAAAACTGAGAGTGAATTTCAAAATGATAATTCAGTATTTATAAAGTTATGATGGTTAAATTATTTTATACTTATTCCAAATTGCTGTGGAATTTGATTACCTAAGGGTTTATGTGTATAAGGAAGTGGATGTTTTTCTTGAAACATAATGTTTTTCAATTTGAAACTCTTCCTGAAGGACTCTAAAACTTTAGCAGCAAAGGAAAAAGAGGTTAAAAAGATAACAGATGGACTGCATGCCCTTCAAGAGACAAGTAATAAAGATGCTGAAGCTTTGGCTGCTGCACAGCAGCACTTCAATGCTGTTTCCGCTGGCCTGTCCAGTAATGAAGATGGAGCAGAAGCAACTCTTGCTGGTCAAATGATGGCCTGTAAAAATGATATAAGTAAAGCTCAGACAGAAGCCAAACAGGTAAATATAGACATTAAGCACTATGTGATTGCTTTTTTTCCCAAGAAGTTTCTTTTCACATTATGCTTTGGCAGTTGTTAACATAATGTTGAAAATAATCAATGTCAAGGAACTTGTTTGTTTACTTTAATCTGCATCTCTAATGCCTAATACAGCAAAAGTCAAATATGTTGATTGCTAAATATTGGTGACGTTAATTTGTTAAGATGCTGTACAACATAAATTACCTTAATTCAGTATATAAGTGCTTTGTTCTGTTTGCAGCACTGTGTGGAATTTTGGAGATTAATCATTTATTCTTGTCTTTTTTTTTTTTTGGCTATTTTTATTTTTTATTGATATTATAATGTTGAAGTCTTAAGCGTTAGGATTGTCCCTCCCATTGCTTTGCCTATCATACCTAGTTCTTAAAACCTTGCTTCTGAAACTTTACATTTTTCTAGGAAGGATCTCTACCTCACATTTATCCACATTCTACTCTTTGATCTTCCCACTCTGATTTCATAATCTTAAAAGTGTTGTCAGTTTATTATAATGTTTCTCAGATTTTACATAGTAGTGCAACTTAAAGTCCTATGAACACAAGAATTTTGCTAGTAGAAAAAACATACATGTAAATAGGCCCATCATTGTTTTGTTTTTAATGGAAGACACAGATTTTAAAATATAGGCACACAAATATGTGTGATTATGCATTAATCCTCTGGTGTTTCTCTTTATATATTTGCAACTCTTTTCATTCAGACATGACAGAGATGGTAGTCACAAATTTATAAGAACTCCCAACAGTAGAATATCTTCAAAATACTCTCAGTTTGTCTATTATTTTATAAGGGAACTGGGAAGAAATGTATCATACAGTTTTGGAGGACACCCCCATCTAGGGTTTAGAATACTAGTTCATAGTTTTAAGAAGCAGTGCTCAGTTATATAAGTTCTTGAAGGTGTGACATATTTAAATAGTTCTAGCATTTAAATATCAAGAGTTGTAGCATTTAATTATCAGACTGTCAGCATTTAAGTTTTTCTGTCAATTTAGCTTCCTTTTCTCCATAATCTTATATCTTATTACCCAATTCATTTTTTTTTTACTGTTATTAACACTCACAAATATATGCAAATACAAATATGAACAACTAAGTGGAAGGGAAAGGAACTAGAGTTGTGATTTCTAGCTTTGTATTAATTTAACCAGCTACTGACAGTTATTTGATAGAATGTTTCCATTTTAATGTCATGTCTTATAAATATTAAAAATATGGACTTAAATTTCACATTTTTAAACAACATATTAATCGTATATTAGTTTATACTTTGAGTAGTTTTTGAGGAGAAAATACTGGGAAATGACTAATCTTTTGAAATACTAATCCAGGAGACCAAACAATTAAATTTTTAAGGCTAAGGTTTCTTAGTAAAACCAATCTGAATCTTTGGCTGTTTAATTACTAGCATTGTCTGCCTCATACATCCTATAATCTGTTTCATTTTTCTGTAACAGGCTCAGATGAAGTTGAAGCATGCTCAGCAGGAATTAAAGAATAAACAAGCTGAAGTTAAGAAGATGGATAGTGGCTACAGAAAGGATCAAGAAGCTTTAGAAGCTGTAAAAAGACTTAAAGAAAAACTCGAAGCCGAAATGGAAAAGCTAAATTATGAAGGTTTGTCTTTAAAAAACATGATAATCAGATCATGAGGAGGTAGTGATTTTTTATGAAAACCTAATTTAAATGAAGAACACAAGCAAATAAGAAACATTTCTTACCCTATTAAAGAGCATTAGTATAAGAAGTGTTTGTAAATATAGTAAAAAAAATCTAATTATAAAATAACTCTTGAATTTTTGAGAACTCAGTATTGAGAATTTCCTGCTTCAATCATTTGAAAGCTCAGAAATGTCTTTTGTGTATTTCTACATTAGTAGGCATTCAATTTGTATGTTAGTTTTTGGAATGAAAATGTGTTATTTGCTGTTGGAAATAATGTCTTTTTGACACTGGATAGAAATTGGAAGGTTCAGCATGCTTAATACTTATCAGAAATTTGTATTTTTTGCATGCTTTGGAAGTAGTGATGATATTTTCCTTAAAACAGTATACTGTGAGTTTTTAAACTTGGTTTTAATTTATTATAATTTATCTTTCAGAAAATAAAGAAGAAAGCCTTTTAGAAAAGCGCAGGCAGCTGTCTCGTGATATTAGTAGATTGAAAGAAACATATGAAGCTCTATTAGCCAGATTTCCCAATCTTCGATTTGCATACAAGTAAGAGATTAAAGCCTTGAATTTTAATATAGTAATAATTAAGACTTCCCTTTTTTTTCTTTTGAGACAGTGTCTAACTCTGTAATCAAGACATGTTTAGTTAAGCTGGAAGCAGTCTGAAATGTTGTCGACATCAAGATTTTTTAATGAAACTTGTTGTAAACTGCTTTTCTGTCATTGGTATTTTTCCTTTAAACATTTGTTGAAATGTTTCAAATGTTGGCAGGGCAATTCTTGTGAAATTTAATGGCTAATGATGCCACCAAACATAAAATCAAAACGAGGGGAACTTAATCTTAGTTCAGAATGTCTTTAAAGTTACTCTGTCATTAATATTAAATATCCACGTTTTCATCTTAGAATTTGTTTTGCTATGTGGGTTTTTTATGGAATATTTACAGTAATCATGTATTACAGGGATTAGAACATCAGAGTTGTTCTTATTAAATTGAAACATAATGAAATATCTATTGATTGATTTAAAAACAACGGCTAGCTAGTCATTTGGCATATTTTTAAATTTTTGGTTTGTTAAAACCATGTGCTGATTCTGCTTTCATTTCAGTTTAAGGTATTGTCCAAAAGAGCTCTTGATGAATAAAGTATAACTTTTTCTACTTTCTTATCTAAGATTAATTTTTGTCAACTTTTCTATATCAGGGATCCAGAGAAGAATTGGAATAGAAATTGTGTGAAAGGACTTGTGGCTTCTCTGATTAGTGTGAAAGATACTTCTGCAACCACAGCTTTAGAATTAGTGGCTGGGGAACGACTCTACAATGTTGTAGTAGACACAGAAGTAAGTTGATTTTAATTTTTAAACATTTAAAATTTGGTTAGCTTGAAAAGTCACGTGCTGCTAAAAGAATTAAATATTCTCTTGATGTTTTAAGGCCTCCCCTAAGGTGACACATTTATAGGGTAAAACTATTTGGTTCATAACCTTTTGATAACTATTCCATAGGAAGTCTCATGCTTACTCAGGAACTCAGAATGCATATTACAATCTTAGACTTTTTGGGTCTCTTTGCTTTATAAGTTGAATATATTTATAAAATAATCTGGGAATAAATAACCTCTTTTTAATGTCAGTCTTTCCATCAAGGTAACATTCTACATTTCAATTCTCACTTTTTATCCTACTGTAAAATGCTCTTACTCCTTCCTGTCAGTGCTACATAGTCATTGCCAAATTTACTTTTTTAAAAATTTGTATTCTGTATGTTTAAAATGTACAACAAGTCTGGGTACAGTGGCTCACACCTGTAATCCCAGCACTTTGGGAGGCTGAAGTGGATAGATCATTTGAGCCCAGGAGTTTCAGACCAGCCTGGGCAACATAGCAAAACCCCATCTCTACTGAAAACAAAAAGTTAGCCAGGCACGGTGACATGCAGCTTTAGACCCAGCAGCTCTGGAGGTTGAGGCACAAGAATTGATTGAACCTTGGAGATGGAGATTGCGGT